GTCTGGAAAAAAAGAATGCTGTGCCTTTAAGAGGCCGTGACCATGTTTCTAAAGTTTCTGCCTGCCTTGTTTCCACCAATAGCCCATTCACAAAGCTGCTAGGGGCCTCAATGGAGAGTAAAGTGGTTGTGGGACAAGGAGAGGTTAGTTCTCGCACGCACAAAATACAAGCAAGCACTCACACGGTCGCACACAAACCACGAGCCGAAAAGGACGCCGATAAGACGGAAGATATCTTAATGGAGGGTGCAGATCATTTCGTTTTGTATTTTGGAAATTGGAAACCTTTTGGAGGCATGTATGACTGTGTCCTAAAAGCCGCAGCAGGAGGATAAACGCGTCAGGGGCCGGCCTTCCCTTGTGACAACTGCAATAATATATCCCCCGCAAAACATTAACTGATTAAAATGTGTTGGAATCAAAAGATGTGCCTCCACTTTGATTGTAAAAATATCTTCATCATTTTGAGTTTAAAGTAATGTGACCTAAAAATGAATCAAATAAAAAATTGCCAGATATTTCGAAGCATTTTCAAGTCAAAATATGCAATCATTTCAATAAATCATTAAATACGACATGGGCTTACAAATATGATTTAAAAATACAATCCAGGCAGTTTAATACCAACATGTTATTTGTTGAATTTTTTTTCCCCATTTGACTTAAAAAATAAAACAAAATGTGCCACATCTATTAGAACATTTTCAAAGACATGTACATACTCTTTTTGCTTAAATTATGCAGAGTAAGTAATATTAAAAATATATGCTTTAAATTCAGAATAATAAATAAAAAAATGCCCCCCAATGTTACGGAAATAAAATGGAGCATTTTGATCACAAAATAGATGCCGTTTGAAGAACTTGAATAGAATTGAACCGTTTTTTTGTTTTTTTTTTTGTTGTTTTTTTTTTGGTGGCTGCAGTGATATTTTCAGCTGCTTGTTGTGAGAAAATAGTACAACTTGAATATCATCCCACGAAATGACTGTGATGCCTTTGGAGTGTGCTCACGGAGGTGTCGCAATCTCCACGTCGAGAGGTGTTGTTTGGTCAACTGTCCTCACGCGTCCACACACGTTCACACGCTCATCTTTGTCGCCGTTCTGCGTACACAGCCTGACTTGTGTGTCTTGAGATTCCGGGCTTCCTTCCTCCTCCAGGAGCGTCTTTAGTCTTCACACGTTAGTCTTCACACCACAAAACGTTCTTATACCACCTGTGCGGTGGTATAAGAATGTTTAGCCTGATGAGGGATTTAACGACCGCAGAGAATATATCACACATACATCCCGCATATCTTGGGAAAAAAAACTGCAGATAAACGACATTTGCATACTGTAAACAATCATGATCTCACTTTTAAGTGTGATAGTTGAGCTTGGCAACATGTGACCCAGCCAGTATTGTCCTTGAGTAGGGGAGTAAAAGGAGGGGGGTGGGGGTGTCATAAAAAGAGAGAGAGAGAGAGATGCAGGAAGAGGAGAGTGATGGGAGTAGACACCCAGGAGGAGGGGGGGATGGTTGAGACAGGAAGACTCGTAGTTTATGACTCGCTGACACTTTTTCGCCTTGCCTTGTCTCGTTTTTAAACATTACAATCCTGTCACTGGTGAGGTGTTTCGAATGAAAAAAAAAATCTCAGTGAGGGTAAAAAAAATGGAGAGAAAAGACCTCTGTGTTTCTGTAAACAAATGCTTCCTCGCCGAGTTTTAGGTGAGCCGTGACAGACACGTTCAGTGATTCCAACTGTCCAAACACGAGCGCAGGCGAGAGAAGGCCAAGCGGGTGCACCACATGTCCCATAAAGACGATGAGGGAAGTCGAATGGGGGGCAGCGGGAGGGGAGGGGGGGTGCTCAAGACCACAGCAATGTGCAGTACAGTAAATTCGCATCCAAATGATGCTTGATGAGAGAAAAAAGAAAACGCACAAATGAGCTTTTTTGGGGGGGCAGGTTTCCCCCCCCCCTACCTCTCAACAAACCACAGCAGGTAAATGTTACAATTCACGTGAGCACACACAGCGGCCCAGTTTGGACAGAGAAAGTCCTATGAAGCATTATTGGAGGTGAATAGTGCGCGTTGGGTGCCCCAGCTAGATAAATAAACTCCCAGCGCTCAGGGCCCGGGACCTCACTGGTAGAGAGAACAAACAAGAGCAGAGTCAACCTGGGTCACCTCCAAATGTGAAGAGATGCTGAAGGAGCGGTCGCAGTATTTACATCTGCAGAGAGAGAGAGAGAGAAAAAAAAAGCGTGTTAAGGACAAAACAAACACCAACCAAAAACATGACTTTGGAACTCTAGGTTTGTGTTGCAGCAATCATCTCTGATACAGAACCCACACACACACACACACACACACACACACACACACAGTCAGAGCAGGACAACCCTTCAAATAAACATCACATCACACAACTTTATTTAACATGACAACTTTGTCTAAATACACTCTACTTTCCTTTCTGGATGATGAAGAATAATTGGATTATAACAATCAATTATGATGTCAAGGCTGCAACAATTCATCGAACATAATAATCATCCATTTCTGATCCGCTTTATCCTCACAAGGGTCGCGGGGCACGCTAAAGCCTATCCCGGTTGTCTTCGGGAAGTCGGCAGGGGGACACCCAGAACCGTTTGCCAGCCGATCGCAGAGCACACGTCGACAAACAACCACTCCCGCTCACACCTAGGGACAATTTAGAGTGTTCCATTAACGTGCCATCCATGTTTTTGGAACGTGGGAGGAAACCGGAGAACCCGGAGAAAACCCACGCAGGCACAGGGAGAATACGCAAACTCCACACAGGAAGGCGCGAGCTGGATTCGAACCCTGCACCTCTGCACTGTGAAGTCGACGAACGCTTTCAT